CCGTTGGGGGGGGGGGGGGGGGCGGGGGCTGTTTCCATGCGGCTCACGTGTGCCGGTCGCGGGCGGGGGGGGGCGGTCCCGGCACCCCCGATCTAGGGCAGTTTGTTCAACTGCGGTAACGGGAGCTCGATGTTCCCGCAGCGCGGGGATTTCTGAGAACTGGGGCTGTGTCCTCAGATGAACCCGGCTGCTTGCTTCCCCCTGCCTGCTCCAGTCAATTAAAGCGGCGATGCCAGCAACGAGGTGGGACCCACTCCTATGGAAGCCGCACGTACGCCTGCAGCCCACAGTGCGGAGCGGGGCTGCGGGCAGCTCGGGAACGGCTGGCAGCGCTGCCCGGCGGAGCCTCCTCACGGAGGTGGCTCCTCTGCGAGGTCCAGGGCCTCCTTCTCCAAGCGACCCCCTGCCTGCATTGAGATCCACCTCCATCCTCCAAGACCTCATGCCTCCCTGGAAGCTCGTTGCGTTTCCATCCCTATCCTTATTTTTCTTTTTCTGTAATGAAACATAACAACGCCTTGTCCAGGGAGTGAGTTGCCTGACGATGATCACTTACCGCATGTATCATGGCACTCCTTCTCCATGACAGCTTTCAGGTGTAAAGGCAGAGCCACCATGAACTCTTGCTGTCCAATCAGAGTTAACCAGAAAGTGTCGAAAGCCAGTCAACAAACTTACCTGATGAGTGTTCCGTGACAGAAATGACACAAAGCTATTTTCACGGGGTATGGTGGTCCAAATCTCGAGAAAGCAGGGGCTGGCATAGTGGGTTTGAAAGAGTTTATGAACAGTGTGAACCATGGAATCAACCACTGAACATTGAATTACATCCTTCAAACCTAGCTGTAAACTGAGGCTGATCCCTACCCAGTCCACCCTCCTCCCCATGTAAGCTATGTGCCTGCTGCCACCAGTTGATTTTCCATTGGGTGTCTTTGCTGCAGTTGAAGGTAGATGTTCCCAAATTAACTTTAGGCTGGCTTTCTACTTTTGAACTTGAGACTCACACACCCATGCTCATGCTGAAGGATGGTGTCTGATGCAGGCTGTAAAATCCATCTGGGATCTTGGGTGCGTGCTCAAGCAGCTAGCCCACGCTGAGCTCAATGCTTCCATGGCTACACCGCTGCAAGCACCCAAAGCGGGTTTACACCCAGATCTCTGATGCCCCCATGGGCTGTAATTTCATTGAGGCACAGACATCCCTTGGGTACCCACCACCTGCAGAGGTAAGCCCCAGGAGGCAGGAGCCGTCCTTCATTCTGAGGCTCAGGATCAGCAGGGTTGGTCACAGGACATTAAGGACACCAGCTGCAATTCAGGGGATACTACAAAGCACTCCCGACAGAGACTTACAATCACTACCAGTGTGCAGAGTATGGATGGAAATAGGGCAGAAGGAGTTAAAGGTAAGAACAGAGAAACACTAATTCTGAGTTGTAAACAGGAAATGAACACACTCTCCATATCCATAATGCTTGTTTTTAAAGAAAGTTGAGTTTGAGACCGCTAATCCACATACTCTTGGATTTTAAGGCCAGAGGCATCTTCTGTCAGTGGCCTTCTATTGTGTAGCTGCTCTTAAAATGGAAGACCAGTTTGCTAGTGTCAACACTAGTTTCAGCATATTCACTCTGTCTTGGAAGCCCTTATAAAGTAATCAGCTGTGCTGACTCTTGTTTTGACTCTCTGATCTACAAAAGTCGAATTTGAAGGCTTCTGTTACTCCAGATGTCTTATAAAGCAACTTTCTGTCCGCTCTGTGTGTTCAGAGACCAAGACACATTTCTTCAAGAGTTTAAAACACTTCCTTCCTACCACACCAGGCTTTGCAATGTCTGATGGAAGAGGTTGTCGTACTGCCCTGATAATATATGCAGGCAATCTGGGCAACACATTGGTATGAACCACAGACATGTAAAATACTTTACAGCATGTTCATGTTTATATGACCACTGAATTACCATTCTGTAATGCTGCCGGAATATCAATCACTTAACAAATGTTCATCACAGTCACAGGCTTTAAGAACGCAGGCCAGCAAACAGGCCATTCAACTCAGTGTATAATTTCAGCCATTTCTAACCATCCATCAGAACTCAGCACCTTGTCAAATCATATGAAGCTTACATCACATGTAGATTCTAGGGCCCTGATGAATGGAAAAAGTCAAAGCAGAAACTGAAGTATAAAATTCCATTGGCATGACTTCGTAAGTGTTGTTTAAACCTAATTAGCTCGGAGTCTTGGAGCTTCTACATCAAAATGAAAGGCATTATTTTTGTCTTTAATAGGTGATGTATCCTTGAAAGCACACTAAAAGTATTTTAACTAGATGCCAAGAGTTCGCTTAAAACAAAACAAGCTAGCAAACAAAAACAGTTTGGCATTTTGTCTGTTGGTTATTCACACTTCTCTCTCTGAACTGTCAAAATTAACATAAGAGGTATGTAACTGAGGATTTGTTAACGTGACTGATGCTCAGACTCAGTTTAGGTGAGTCATCTCTTGGGAAGTGACTCTTGTGCCACTGAAAGGTGGACGACGACATCTCTTAGCGGGAACTTTTGGGTGACGTCAGTCACCCATAGAAGTTCTGAAAGTGCTGTGAAAGAAAGCTGGCAGATGGGCAATTCAAACCTACGTTCTGGATATCCAGAGTAATGAAGCCGGGGGGCAGCTTTCCATGAAAAAGCCTGTTGCCCCTCTAAAGGAAAGAGAAGGTTTTAGTCACCTGTACTAAACACAGAAGGACATATGTATCAACAGTGGTAGCGGTAGAGGAACAACAACCAGCTGTGTTCCTCCTTCCCATCAGAAGCAGAGATCATGGACTCTGCCTGGTACCTTGTAAGCACTAGAGGCCAACCCATGCGGGATCAGGCGTGAAAAAGGCTCCAAAAATGGGATAAAATCGACCTCATCCCTTGATGACTGCCCTGTTACATAAATTGCTCTATTCATATTTTCTATTTGATCTTCATCACCCTACAGATCATCCAGATGCAGAGGTAGCCACTAGTTCTTTTGTTTTGTTTGTGGTTTGTTTGTTTGTTTTTTTTCCCAGCAATGATAGCAACGTGATTTCAGCCTTATGCCAATTATCCACAACAAAGGATTATTATTATTGCCTGAGGTAGCACCTAAGAGGTTTAGTGTGCTGGCGTACAAAATGGCTGACATCTACTCGTTTTTATTTCCTGCAGGAAGCAAGCAACGCTGCCTCATTTCTGCAGCTGCTTCCTCGTCATTTCCATGCTCGGTTAATGACATTAATAGCAATCCACTGAGCGCTATGCCCTCTTGGCCTCTGTGCTTCTGCGAGGAGGGCTGGGCTGCAGCTGAGGACAGTGGGGCTCAGTTTGGGACCCTGGGCTGCTGTGGCCCGGTGTCGTCGGGCCGCAGCTTGCAGCAGAAGGGTAGAACCCCGCGGTCCGGCAGCTGTACAACGCCTGCAGAGGTACGCCGGCTTTACCCCGGCCGACGGGGCGCAGTGGCCTATGTGCAGCGTCTCGGAGGCAGGGTCCTTCCTCGCTACGCTCGCTCCTGACAGACCGCGCAGGTGGACACACTTCACACGGGCTGCTGCTGGTTCCCATGTGATGCCGGACACGTCTCTCCCGGGTTTTAAGCAGCGCTCTCCCAAGGTGGCGTTTCTCCGCCGTCGCGCCCCGAGCCCTGCGCTCCGGCTGGAACGGGGCAGGCTGCTGGGTAGGGATGGCAAGTGCTCCGCGACCACTGGAGCTGATGCCGGGCCGGAGCCGCCCTTCTGCAGCCGTGTTTGCTCGGGCACGGCCGCTCTGCCGGGCCCTGGGACTTCCCTCCCTGGTGGTTGTCCCGGGGTAAGCTCCGGACGGGAGACATGCGCGCCCGGCCATCAGCAGCGGCACCCCAGGGACCTCTCCCCATGCCACCGCTGCATCTAAGGGAACCGCGTCTCGCGGGTGAGCTTGTGATATGCGTAACGGCATCGCGCCGGGATCCGGCTCCCCGCACAGAGCCGGGGAGCCCCGTCGCCTGGCCGGAACGAGAGTTGGTTGGCGCGGGGCGCGGCGCTGGTTCCGCTACGAGCCCCGGTCACCGCAGCCCCGCTCGGCGGCGCCTTGCCTGGGCCAGGTGGGCGGGGTCGGGCGGTGCGCGGGCGCCCGCCGGGTTTACAAGTGCTGCGCACTGCTCGGAACGTGGCGCTGATTGGCGGGGGCCTCGCCAGTGACATCAACCGGCTCACTTCCCATTGGCGGGCCCGTTGCTGGGACCGTAGGGCTTCCAGGGAGACACTTAACCCGCTCGGCGCCGGGCTGCCTGGCCGCGCCGGGTCGCACCCCGCAAACCCTGAGCGGACCTGCGGCCGGGCGCCGCCGCCGGCTCGGCTGGGCGGCGGCCTTGGCCGGCGGGGCGGGAGGGAGCCGCGGCGCTTTCGTCCTTTCGCTTCCCACCGCCGCCCGGCGGGCCCGAGACGTGGCCCTTTTAAGCGGGCGCGGCGGGGCGCCCAGAGTAGCACGCGGCCTGAGGAGGGAGCGCAATGATTGGCGGGGCTGTCGCCCGGCGGACACACCCCCTGCTAGAAAAGGGGAGCCGCGAGTGGTGGGGGGAGAAGGTAAACAGAGCCGGCCGGCCCTGCCCGCTGACCAATCGGGGGGGCGGGACGGCACGGGGCGGGAGGGGGCTCCCAACCTGACGTGATGGGACTCGGCGCGGCCGTCCCCGAGCAGGAGCGCGCGGGGCGCGGGGCGGTCGGCGGCGCGGCGGGCGTTCTCCTCTACCCCGGCCGCCGCTCCGGACCCGGGCCGGCCGCTCCTCCCTGCCGGCTGCGCGCCGCCGCTGGGGCTGGGCGCTGAGACCCCTACCTGGCGTCCCGCTATTTATCAGCCCCGTTCTCCCTTGCGCTGCAAAGACCTCGCGCCGCAGGCGAGCCATGGCTGGCGCTGCCGGTCCGACGGGCGCGCACTGAGGAGAGCCCGAAGCTACACCCCTCCTCACACACACACACACACACACACACACACACACACCCCTCACACACACACACACCCCGGTCGTCGGGGCGCGGCCGCACCATGTCGGCCGTCGCCTACGTGGACTTCGTGGCGGCGCAGTGCCTGGTTTCGATCTCTAACCGCTCGGCCGTGCCCGAGGCAGCGCGGCTGAAGGTACCGGGCGAGGGGGAGGCGGCCCGGGAGCTGCGCGACCCCCGCGATGCTTGGAAGGACTATTGCGCCCTGCTAGCCATCGCCAAGAGCCTGCTGGAACTGAACAAGTACCGGCCGCTGCCCGCCCCCTCCGTCTGCAGCGACAGCGTGGAGAGCCCCGACGAGGACGCTGGCTCCGACAGCGACGCGGCCACGGAGCCGGGCTCCAGCCCTCCCCGCAGCCCGCCGCCGGGGCCGTCCCCCCGCCTGCGCGCCGCCGGGGCCGCCCCCAAGGGGAAGCTGGCCGCCGAGAAGCGACACAAGTGCCCCTACAGTGGCTGCGGCAAGGTCTACGGCAAGTCCTCCCATCTCAAGGCGCACTACCGCGTGCACACAGGTCAGCGGCGGCGGCGGCGAGGGGAGGGAGAGGGAGCGGGCGAGGGGAGGGGGAGCGAGCAGAGAACGAGCGCTTGTCCTCGCGTGAACCCTGCCGGCGGCGCGCTCGGCTCACCCGCGCCCTGCCCCCGTTTTCGGCCGGGTTTTTTTTTTCCTTTTTGTCTCCTTTTCTCTTTTCCCCCTTCCACCACGGCCCCGTTTTTCCCCTCTTCTCCCTTCCTGTCTCCTTTTCCGCCGCGGGGCCGGACCGGCCGCCCCGGGTGGGGCTGCGGCAGCACCTCCCGCTGCACCCCGCCTGCCGGCCGCTGCCCGAAGCCCGTACGTGTACCCCGGGCAGAGCGGGGCGGGCGGCAGCCGCCGGAGTGAACCCGAGGCGGTTCGGGGGGCGGCGGCGGGGAACGTCTCCTGGGCTGCGGGAACAGGCAGAACCTGGCCCGAAGGCGTTCCTTAAAGCCGCCTCGGGCTGGGCGGCCTGCCCCATCTGCTGCCCTTGCCGTCCGGAGCCGCGTTCGCAGAGCGGGCTGCGGGCTGCCGAGCAGCGGCTCCGGCGGCCGCGGGCACGCCCCCTCCAGCGGGCCGAGGGCACTCGAGCCGCACATCGCCTCAAACCGGAGCTGGCCACAGCCGGGAGCCGCTCCAGTGTTTGGGCCCCCTGGGGGGACCGGCGGCTGCTCCGCCCGGCGGCTCGTCGCGGTGCCGGTTATCGTGACCCGGCCGTGGCGTGTTCCGTCCCGCGGGGGCTGCATTACCCGGTCAGAGGGGGGAGAGGGTGTGGCGGTGTCGGAGCCTGCCGGTGAAACACCTCTGCCGCCACAGTTCGCTGTGCTCGTGCTCTGCGCAGCGCCGAGGGAACAGCGGCCCGCCGTTCCTCCGTTTATTGTGCGGGTCTTGTGTCGGGAGGGGGGTTGTGTTTGTTTTGGTTTGTTGAGGATTTTTTTTAATCCCTTTAGTGGGAGCGGCTGAATAAACCCCGTTACATGTCCCAATTGCAAGGAGGGAGGGACGGGGACAGAGTGTGGTACACGAAGCTGCTTAAAAATTGCACTAAATTAGAGGGTTGTGTGTGAGTATGGAAAGGAGCGGATCAAAGGAGACAAATGCTGCCGGCTCTTATTTCATGTGCCTCACATCTGTCCTTTAGTCGGAGGTTCTTTTCTGTATTTTGTCTGCTTGGCAGTAATGGTAAATGGTGAAGTACACGACCAGTTTATCACCCGAGGAACATGCTGCGAGGCACTGCTGTAGTATTTCACACAGCCTGGGTAGGGCACGGGCGCATCTGAACTCCAGCTATGCTTCGGTTGCTCTGCCTTGTTTGTGTGCCCAGGTGTATGTGCGCTGCAGTGGAGACACGGTGCTGGTTGCCTACCTAAGCCCTGCTGGCAGATCTGCCGATGCTTAGCTCCGGAGATCAGGGGGAGGAGGAGGATTACTGGATGTGGCTCAGCAGTGAGCTCTGCGGAGTTCAGGCTGTCTCCATGAGCCGGGAAAGAGGATGGTGAGTGGTGACCGTGTACTGACCTCAGGACCAGTGCCAAGGATTGTGTGTTACTGGCTCAGAGACCACGGTTCTGATGCTCTTTTGGAGGCTGAATGTAACTGATGCCCAGCAAAATATTGGCTCATAAGCGACAAAAAAAATTTGTTAGCTTCACATGCACTTACTACCTGGCACTTACTACCCGGTGTTCAGATATCCACCCCAACATGGGAACCAAAATAGACATGACTGGGTTAGTGTTCTGGGTGATGACATGTAAATTAATGTACTGTACAACCCACACTGCTTACTGTAAGCAGTAGCATTATAATAAGTATCTCCTGAAGCAGTGTGAGGTATAGTGTGTGCTGCCTTAGCTCCAAGTATTAGATACTTGATTCACATGCACCGGTATACCACCACGGTGGTTCTGTGTGACTCAAATTGCTACAGATACCACCAGTAATGAACCTTCAGAGCTTCCTAATGTGAGCAGTTAATTGTAGCTAACTGAAATGCTAAACGATACTGCTAATTATTTTTATAGATGGCAGAACAATTCCTTAGCAACGGTGAGATTCAATGGGACCTCTGGAGTTATTCATAACTGTGCACTGCAGAGCATTAATGCTCCCTCCTTTCTTTCCTTTTTTTCCTTTTTTTTTTCTCCCAACAATTTCTCTTCTGTATATCTGAGCCTCTTGAATTGAATTCACCTACCTGCTATTTTTCATCCAGCCACTAAGCAAGTTTTTTGCTGCTGTGCAGCCTTTAATGGAAATAGGTACAGAGCCACCAGTACAATCTTCCAGGTCTTAAATTTTTAATATTTAATTCCAGTCTCTGTGTCTTGGAAAATGTCTTTAGGATTTGCTTTCACACCTGTGAGCTTACTTATAGCCACAGTTCTCTGAACTCAAGGATACTAAGTGAGCATGTTGGAAAGCTCTAGATACTGCCCTGTGTTGTGGGAATCTAAAAACTCAGCAGGCCATCTTTGGCAAGCTAAGGCAAAGGCAAGAAATGAAATACCAAATAAAGGTAGAAGAGTAGAGGACCAAAGACTTGGTGCTGAGGGGTTAGAGGTCTTTGTCTTATAATGATTCTATAAACTTGTTGGTTCAAAGGCATTCCTTCCTTCAGAGACTAAAAATGTCTGTGTAAATGTTTGCCTGAAGTTCAGGCCTTTGATGATGACTCTAGTTCAATTTCCAGAAGACCAGAATTAGCAATCCATCAGAAATTGTCTCTGCATTGATCTTAACAGAACAAGGTCAGCGGGTGGCACTGCACATCTCACTTGATGGCACAAGCAAGGGGACTGTTTGCACAATCCTGCTGAACTCAGCCTGATTTAGTAGAGCAGGATTTGTAGGGGGAAGCCAAGAAGTGTGAACTCTTCCCCTTCCCGGGGGGATGCTCCTTTCATTTCTTGCCAGGCCCCTGGTGTTTCTGCGGTACGATCAGACACTTCTTCATTCTGTCATGTATGTGTACTTACATTCAAAATACATTAATTCACAAAGGCCTGAGGATACAAGGACAAGTGTATCCCTGAAACTGAGCTATTGCCTCCCCTGTCCCTTCAGTACCATCCAAAAGTGAGATGGGATTTATTATTTAAGTTCTCGTGTCTTGAGCAGGAAGAACATTACAGGTAAGGTTGTTCTGTGTAGGCTGGTAGCATCTCTGAGGCACGTGGCACTTGGTGTAGGAGAGAAAGGGTGGCTTGCAAGCCAAAAGACCTTTGTCAGGAAGGCAGGTAGAGGGATAGCTCCACAGTGTGACCATGCCTTAGGTTTCTTGGTCCCTTATGGTATAATGTTGTGGGAGTATAGGACACGTGAACTCTGCTGAAGTTTGGTGATGGCAGGAGGGATTGTGAGCAGTTTGTCTGCTTGGGAGCCTTCAGCACTGAGGTGGTGTGACCAAGTCTTGTAGACTTTCCCTTCAGAGCATAGAAAATGGCCCAGACACATTGGCAAGACCTGCACAAAACCCAAGTCCTGGAAGCTGTGCAGTTATCAGGAGGAAGCAAGGGACTTGGCTGACCAAGAAAACGACAAGCGGCAGCAGATTTGCAGGCAGTTACCTTGGAGATGCACAGACTTTCCTAAATAGGTAGTTTTAGAGGTTTCATTATGGCCAGTAATGTGTAGGGTTACTATTAGCCTCAAAGATGGGGAGGGAGGAGAGCTTAACAGGGAGTGATGGGCAGGCCAGAGGGTTTCCAGGGAAAATAAAGGCGTATGAGAGTAAACAAGCAGTCTCAGTTGGAAGGCCTTGGACAAGGAGTGTGGAGCAAAGGGCAGGAGAGGGAGAGAAACTGGCAAGAGAAGCGAACTTTAAGGAATGTACGGTTGCTATAATAGCATGAATACAAGCCAGTTAAAAGGCACACAGCTGCTGAGAGCAGATCCTGCTCTCTGGTCAAGAGAGAGGGACAGAGAAGTTGCCATAAAGCTAGTTTATCAGATGCCGCCTCATACAGGATCTGTAGGAGTTCACTTGCCTGGGGAGGCAAGTCCCAGATACTTCTCAGTACGTGGTGCAGCAGATTGATGGGAAGTTCACATCTGCATCAGATACCCTTAAGTACGAGGTTAGGCACAGAAAAACAAAATATGTGAAAAGTTTGCACTCTTCAGCCAACTACATCATCATATAAATCAGGACCAATCAATACCAAGAGCTTTGTTTCATTGGGCAGCTGATGCGCCCTTGAGCGCTCCTGGGCATCTGGCTCTCAGTGATGTTTGACAGCAGGTCAGTAGGCAGAGGTGTGGACCCAAAGGTCAGCAGCCTGCACAGTGAAGATGAGGAGCATTTCTGGTACAAAGGAAAAGTTAACACTGCAGTCTAGATACCATGGCTTCGACCCAGCCCCTGTATCAGTTCAGTTTTCACTGTGCTCCTTTGTTATTTGTGCTCTGGACTATCACTAACTGGGCAGACTGTACAGATGCTACTGTGTTGACAATCCTCTGCTTGCTGGAAGCTTTTTTTTGGGTATTTTGTGGGAGCGTAATCTGAAATTTAGTATTTTAAGCCCCTCTTATCCATCTTATGCAATGTCACTTTGCCAGATCCTTTAGAATAAGACTGAAGAGCAGAAAGTGGAGTCAGCAAGACATTTTTTGCTCAATTCAAACCTCCATCTGAAACTCCCATTCTCGAGGGTTAACGCAAATGTGCAGATTGCTGGAGTTCTAATCGGCATGTTTCCAGGTCTTGGAGAAACACAATCCTACTGACTGGAAACCCTGCCAGCTGAGTAAGGTAGGCAAAACTCCTCAAAATTAAGTTCAGTGTTGCCTGACTCCCAGATGGCTTTTGTTTGGTTTGGGAGGTGGGGGAGGTTGGGGGCATGGATTTTTTCTTTTTCTTTTTTTGTGTGTGCTTGGGTTTTTTTTTCCTGCCAAAAAATAAAAGCTTTAAGCAGGTGTATGTGTCACAGTGAGAAAGCACTCTAGAAAGGTCTGTATATTAATTGAGTCAGTGTAAAGAAGTGCACGTGTAGA